TCTCTCTCAAATGAATAAATAAAAAAAAAATAAATAAAATTTAAAGATTGGAAGGTTTTACATTGTGGGTCATTCTTGTATTTCAAAGATAAGGTAATTGAGGTCCAGAGCCGATAAATAATGTGACCATAGCTAGTAGAAGAGCTACTGTAATAATTCATGGTGCCTAAGTATCATTCAAATGATCTCACCTGAGTAATTGAGTGCTGCTTTAATGGTTTCAACATCTTTAAAGATGTGTAATTTTTTGATTTTTAAAAATGAGTAACAGTATCCAGGCTTCAAAATGTGTAGAAAATAGTTTTTAATATTTGCTTTGCAGTTTTTGCCCCCCTGCTTTTTAGATTTCTGAGTATTGAATAAAACATTAAGACTTTTCACATGTTTTGTTTTATAGGTAAGACTTAATTTAAAGTTACTTACAACCCTAAAATGATTAAGAAAACTGGTAGCTAAGTTTTTCTTTGAATTTTTTTCTCATTGAAAAAGAAAATTATTTGCCTCAAACATGGTGTTTCCCTAGGACTTAAACATCTTAAAATACAGAGTGAAATGAGTATTAATAATTGCTGTTTGTTAACTTTTCAGGGGAATCTAGTATAATTTATTAAAGTTTCTCCTGTTACAAAACTTCATGTATTTGATTTTATTTTTGTAAGCATTTTTAGGATATATTTTTTTTATTCTCCTTAGAGATCTGTTTAATGAATGCATATGATCCCTTAAAGTCTCCAAATGGACATGTAACTTGATGCAATTAAAAATATTTGAATTTTTCCCTGTTTTGCTTCTTTATTATTGGTGGATTCTATATGGTGTTGCTTTGTTCATGAACTTAATTTGTTCCACTATTTTGCAAAAGATAGCCATGTTTCTGTTTGTACAGAAAAGGTGGCCTTGGTTGTATTTGTCACCTAACATACAGTTCACAAACGTAAATTTTGCTATTTTTGTTTGCAGACCAAATTATTTGCAAACAAAAGCATTTGTGAACCAAGGCACCACTCTGTTTATCAGTTTGCCTACTTCATACATTTATTTGTGCTTCCACTATCAATATCTGTGTTGTTTTTGTGGCTACTTCCAGAGCAATAAAAAATTTCTGTCACCCAATTTGCATATTCACAGCTGAGATAGAACAAGGCAACACTGTCATCTTGTCTCATTTTTCATATTATAAATGGTTCTATTTGCTACTTAGTGCCACTTTTTCATATTTTGTCTTTTTTTAAAAATATTTATTTATTTATTGTGTGTGTGTGTGTGTGTGTGTCCAGCTCAGCCCACCAGGGGGCAGGGCTGCCTGGCATGTGGTGCTGGGGGATTGAACCGCGGCCCCTGTGCTTTGCTTAGCTTAGCTTGTTCTAAGTAGGTGCTTTAGACCACTGAGCCATCTCACCAGCCCCATATTTTGTCTTTTTTAATGACATCAATAATATATGTTAATTAAGACACTTTAAATAGAATCATACCTGAAGGATTATATGTTGATCAGTTGATGAAAAAATTAAGATCAGAGGCTCACAGGAATTAGGACTTTTTCATTTTCCCATAGGAGCAATGATTCCATAATTATGAATGTAGTATTTACAGTGGTTTTATGAAGCATAAGTCTCTGAATAACCAGAATCAATTATATATTGTAATAGCCTCCAAAATGTTCTTCAGTGGCCCAAACCTCTTTTTCAGGACTCAGTATAGCCTTCTATCCCATCAAATCATAGCTGGTTGGTGAGGTATGAACAATAGTATGCAGAGAGATTGTGTAAGTTTCAGGCAGAAATTGAAACTGGGTAGTTTTGTTTGCCCCCCCCCTTTCAGGAAGGACTCAAGCGAACTGTATTCTTTGAGTTCTTCCATATTGATTAATAGTAAATGCCATTATAATTAAAGGTCAGTTTTTGTTAGTATAGAATTCTTATATACCTGTCTTGTAGTTTTTGGTGGTTTTCTTTGCATATATTTTGAGATTAATGGGAATACTTTACTATTTGGTTTTGTTGTAGATACTGCCTGTTAATTATTAGTTTATCAGTCTTGGTTATTCTTTTTATGGCAGGCATTTAGGGGAAATCAAAAGTACACATCTGACCTCGCCATCTGACTATAATCCATGCATATTTATTTTAATTGTTATCTTTAATACAGAATTGTAGAAAGAAGTAGAAGAAACTAGTCATTTAATTTACATATTTACTTTTGTAGTTGAAGAATCTGAAACTTGGAAAAGTTGAGTAGTTATAAGCATAATTAGGTCTATATCTCAATTTGCCTAACTTATTGGTGCCCTATCCCACATCTGTTGGACTGAGGCAAAGGATTAAATGGAATTGATGGTCAGATGACTTAGATGTAAAGTGATTACTTGGACTTAGGCTTGGCTTGTGCATTGGGACAGAATCACAGAGGTGAAGAACGCTTTTTATTGTGCCATTTCATGAGGTATAAGGTATTAGCATGACATCACTGGGTTATTTTTTGTGTATGTGGGCAATAGAGATCACACTTAATCTAGCCCATATTTGCAGTTTTAACTAAAGCCCACATAAAGGACTTTACCAGTTACAGTTGTCTTTCAACTTGATGGTATGTGTACTGTGTAGGATGATGATGGTGAATCTGTGGGACAGACACATGCCACAGTGGCCGTTTGTATCATTGAAAGCTGTAAAAGGTTCATTAACACTGCTATAGGATTTTGTTGAGAATATATACCTCTGTACTATTTAAAGAACAGCTTACTTAGGCTCTGTGACATCTGTATCTAAGTTGTCTCAGAGATAGAACAAAGATATTTTTCCTTCACAATAACTAGTAATCTAATCTAGTAATCTGCCATTTGATTATAGTTTCCAGAAACTTGTAAAATAACACTTGGCCATTTTTCTTTCCCATAAAACTTTTACTTTTTGCCCTGTGTAATGATTAGAGGTATTTAATTGCAAAAGATATTTTAAGGTTTGTCCAAGTAATATTTATTGCACAGCTGGGAGATCCTAATTATGTTTTTATTAGAGAACCTTGCATCCCATGAATTTCTGATGGAAGTTTAAAAATGAGCCCATTTAAGGCAAATTAAAAATGATTTGAGGTACCAAAATTTACTATTTGGTGATGAAAGTAGTTACATAAATGCAAAGGTATAGAGCTATTGATTTAGGGACAACAGTGATTTACATTTGTTTTGATGTGGGTTTTTTTCTCATTTACCTAATTTTTACTTTGTACATTATGAAAATCATCTATTCGTATTAATTGTGTGATATCTACTAATTATATCAGATAATTTTAGGATGTAAATCAGTAATACATTGGTATAGTAGATTTATTTAAATAATGAACTTAGAATAAATTTAAGGTAAGATTAGGAAAGATGTCAGAATGTCAGCTTTGCTTGTATGCATACTTTTTATTTGTAAGAAGTATATATAAAAATGTAGATGCATAAAAGTGACAAGTGTCAGCTAGTATTAGATTTCCTTTAGAACCGTTCAGTAATCCTTGCATAGAACAGTGCGTGGTCCGTTTTGTGATGATGTAGCACAGCCTATTACATAGGTAGAGAAGAAAGAAAGTAATCTAAAGACATGAAGCACTATTAGACTTTCTGATAAATTCTGTTCTTTACAAAACACAGTGAAAAGGCCTGGCCAAATAGCTCAGCTGATTAAAGCAACTGCAAGCTGGTGCAGGGGCCTGGCTTCGATCCCCAGGCCTGCTGTGCCAACCCTACCCCCCGGGGCGTGCTGAGATAGCAATTGAGACTGGACTTGGTGGCGTGTTTCAGCACTTGGGAGGCTGTAAACAGAAGAATCACTATGAGTCCGATCTAGTAGTGAGACCCTGAATACCCTATAGACCCTTTCCTAAAAAAATGCAAAAAAAAACCCCAACAACGACAACAACAACAACAAAAAAACCACAATGAAAAAGATAAGTGCTAAAAACCTGATAAAATGATGCATAGATGGAGAATACAAATTCAAATGCAAGGAAATATTATAATAGATTAAAAAACGGAATTGAGGTGTTCATTGAAAAATACTTGCTGCATTCTGGCTTTCTGGTTTGGGGCAAGGGTTGATCGTGTAATAAGGAATATCTCCAAACCATAATTAGAAATTTACTGCATTTTAGCTTTAGAGAGTATAAGCACCATAATACATATAAGGATATTTTTAGAGACTTGCATACTTTCAGCGTTCAGGTGTATCTTTGGATGCAATATTTAAAAGCAAACAATTAACCACTAAGAAGAATATATGCAGTGTATTATTTGTTGAAACTGTACTTTCGATTTGATTTGAAACTGTCTCATTGCTATATATTTATCAATAAAACTTTGAAAAGAAAAAAAAAATAAAAGCAAGGAATTATTCAGGCACTGTGTCACATACTTGTAGTCACAGCACTCTGAGAAACCCAGGCAGAAGGATCACAGGCTTGAGCCCAGCTTGGGCAACTTAGTGAATTAGGATGACCCCTGCTCAAAAGACACAGCTCAGAGCAAAGGCCCTAAGTTCAATTCCCAGTACAGAAGTATGGGGGAATTATAAGCAATTGTCATATTAAACAGTGCTTTCTTGCAGAGTTTATTATTGCTTTAAGGTGTACATGCAAGTTGTAGAATAAAGGTGTTACCATAATTTTTTTTTTTACTTGCTTATTGCTAACTGGTATCAGTCCTGTAATCTTATGTGAAAAAAAATTTGAAAAGATTCATTACTAATATTATTCTGCATTTCTGTTGATTTTCAATTGAGTTTTTGTTTTTTTAAACATGATTGTTTCCACAATACATAAGAAGCAGCGAAGTTATGTAGGCTGATATACTACTTTGCTGCCAAACTTCCATTTACTATTGGTCTAACTTACACCTTACATTTAATTCTATTTGCGAGGGCTTATTGGCCTTTCAGTATTCAACACTACTTTGAAAGAATAGAAGATGGGATACCATGTCATAATGAAAAAATAGATTTTGGGGGCGGCTGGGCGGCGGGGCCCGGCGCCCGCTCGGCCCGCCCCTTTCCCCGCCGCTGTCAGAGACGCGGTGTATGCTGAGCCGCTGCCACTGCCGGCTGCTGCACGTCGTGGGCCCGAGCTTCTCGCTGCTGACCTGCCGGCTGCGCCGCTGCGTTCCTCGCCCCATGAAGCCGCTGGTCGTGTTCGTCCTCGGCGGTCCCGGAGCCGGCAAGGGGACCCAGTGCACCCGCATCGTGGAGAAATATGGCTACACACACCTTTCTGCAGGAGAACTTCTTCGTGATGAAAGGAATAACCCAGAGTCACAGTATGGTGAACTCATTGGAAAGTACATTAAAGATGGAAAGATTGTGCCAGTTGAGATAACTATCAGTTTATTAAAGAGGGAAATGGATCAAACAATGGCTGCCAATTCCCAGAGGAATAAATTTTTGATTGATGGGTTTCCAAGAAATCAAGACAACCTTCAAGGCTGGAACAAGACTATGGATGGGAAAGCAGATGTATCTTTTGTTCTGTTTTTTGACTGTAATAATGAGATCTGTATTGAACGATGTCTTGAAAGGGGAAAAAGTAGTGGTAGAAGTGATGACAACAGAGAGAGCTTGGAGAAGAGGATCCAGACTTATCTTCAGTCAACGAAGCCAATTATTGAC